ATACAACAATTAAATAAAATAACAAGTGGATAAAAACAAGCATTATAAAAAGATAAAAAGTTATTATTAAAATAAAAAATTATCACAAATTTTTAAAAATTTAGATTTTAAAATATACAAACCCCATGGAGAGAGCAGAATATCATTCATAGTGGAGTCATAGAAGAATGTCTCCAGTTCCCAAAGACCCCCAGGCCTGATAACACAACCAGGTCTTGAGAGATTTCCTAAACAACAGCAAGGAAGGGGCGAGCCTAACTTCAGGAGGGAGAATGTTCCACAAGGAGGGAGCCACAGCAGAGAAGGCCCGCCTCCTGGGACCCACCAAATGCAAGTCCTTGGCCGATGGAACACGTAAGATACCTTCCCTGCCAGATCTAATAGGACGGGCTGATGTAATCAGGGAGACACAGTCCCTCAAATAAAAACTCTTTATACAGAAACTACAAAGAAAAAATATACTTCAATTTACAACTTGCCTTGCCTAAAAACAGGAACATTAGCCGCATTAAACAAGATTCCTCCCTTAATTCTCTCCAAACTTTGTGATACTTCGCTGCTCTTTCTATTACTTCGGTTTCAGTATTCATATCCACAGTATATCCCTGACAAAGTAAATTCAGATGAGTAAAAAAGATGTACCTTGAAATATTTATTAAACTATTTCCCAGAATATGAAAAATAAAAAGAGAGCAATTTCTGCCAAACAACCTGTTTTTATTCTCTGAATTGTTCTGGGATATATTACATTTATATAATACATTTATCTAAGTGTTTGTGAATAATAAAGTATATAGCTCCCAATTTCCAAATGGTAATAATTGTATTCTAATAATATTGTGTTTCTCACTTTCAGAACAATGACAATCCCAAGGACAGATAAGAATAGGAAAGGAGTTTTATTTGGCCAGAAATGTAGCCTATAATCTAAACACACACACGTGTATTTTCTAGGTAGTTATCCAAGGACACAGATCATCTTCTCCATCCTAAACAGCTTTCCACCAAGATTGGGATACATGTCACCCTTCAGATGTTCCTAATTCCAGTCAGCTCAACAGACAGGAATGGTGACAGTTGAATCCAGCAACAGCTAGAACTAGGAATAAACCCCCATCCTTATTTTAAGCTGCCATAATAATTAGCTTTTTAAAATGGTGTGGTTGTCAGAAATCTCAGCCAGCATGCTCCCTGAAAAGTGGATTTAGGCGGCCAATTTCTCTAAATTCAAAGGTCAAAACTAGAGAAATTCAGTTTGGCTACCAAGGAAAATGAACTTGAACTATAAATGTATTTTCCAGCTCCAAAACACACCCAGCCATTTTAATATTTCTTAAGCCTATTTAAAGGCTTGTCTTTTATTAAGAGTGGTTTTGAAAAAACAAGCAAGCAAACGAATCAGAAAGAATACCTTCAGGAGAACATTCTGTCCTTGAACTCTGGAGCAAGTCACAGGATGTTTTGTGCTTAGTTCCTTCATTGGCTCAGCATCTAGAAGATCACGTTCTAAACTGACAGTGAGAAGACCGCCCGAGTTCTGGAGAATACATGTATTAAACCAGCTTATTCTCAGTTTTGGATCACAGACCTGTATATAATATGGTATGTGTGCACCCCACTTCTAATGGTAAAAAGCTTTAAGTGTCACAGTATTATTTCAGAAGGCTTAGCATAACAGGCTGGCTATAAGACAATGGGCCACATTTAGTTTTGAAAAGATCCCTGCCTCTGATCACATTTCTGGAAGACACAGCACCACAGAATTTCATGTAGAAAGTGAAGCCAGCTCTGTTCCTCTTTGTTTTCCTGTTCTTCAGACTGCTTTCTTGCTACCCTTTATCTTGATCAACATTTCTGCCCATTACTTTTGTTTCTTGGGTTGCTACAACACATATAGAACTGCCAATTGCCTTTGTCAGAGATATATCGGCCAATCTTAATTTTGTAAACAATACAAACCTTACCATGTATTTCAAAATTCCTGCTTCGGGATGAAGGAGTGGCAGCTCAGGAAACCATTTTTGAACTAGATGATTAAGCTTTTCCTAAATTAGAGAAAAAGTCTGCAGTAACAATCACAGGATGAAAACAATACCCAGCAATATATTGGAAACATGTATTGATGTTTATTCTGTAGTATCACAATGGTGAATCTGCAATGAGCAGGTGAATATTCATGGACAATTAGTCTCCCCTTATCCTCCTCCTTCAATGCACAGCATTTAGCTACTTAGTATCAGCGGCTACTCTTTTGTTCCAGAGAAAGGGCATCATCATAGCTTCACTTGTGTCTTCATTCTTCTGACAGAGCAGCATCTCTAGTTGTTTACAGCTATTTTAACTAGGCATGTGATGAGAATTCAAAGCATGGATGATTGCACAATTAACCATCCTTGTCTGAAATCTTAAGAACAGAGATGAAGTAGAAACCCTATTTTAGTTGTATTTATAACATGATGGGGAACCACGAGCTGCTTCTTGGTGGTGAATGACAGACACATTCTCCCTACACCAAATCTAGCAACAGATTCCTAAGAAAAGAAGGAAAAAAATCCCTGAAGCTGTGGTAGTACCTCTCTCTCCTTTGTGCCCCAAATAAGGCTGTTTTTGAGAGACAAAAGAGCATGAGCACTGATCTTCAGCCAACCTCTCTAAAATGCATCTACTTTCCATCTACTGCCATATTAGAGTTCTGAAATAGGACACTAAAAAACCCAAACATTCTTGGGGTAAGCCAGAGACCAATTCTCTAATCTGCCCTATGGAACAGCCTCCGTCCTGAAATTCGGGTGGCCCTGACCTGCTAGCCTCCTGGAAGGCCTTGAAAACTTAACTTTTCTCTCAGGCATTCAGGCCAGGATGTTAGCTGAGTCCAGTAAGCGTGTTTTATGATGCATTCTATCTGAACTTTGCTTGGAGTCTCGGCTGCATTGTATTGCATTGTTTTAGTTCTATTTTGCTTTGTGCTTTCTGTATTCTTAGCTGCCCAGAGTCAGTAGGATGAGGTGGGTAGCCTCATAAATTCTTTAGGTAAATAAATTATTTAAGTAAGTCAATCTCTGGCCCTAAAAATATTGACTGAGATATTCAATTTTTCGTTACTGGAAATGTATTTAGAAGGAAGATGAACCAAAAATACACTTTTATTTCAGCTTTTTATCCATATTCATTTATAAATATGAAAAATATATATAACTTTACTCCACAAGTCTTTGGTTTATAAGACACACAGATGCCACACTTTTGCTTGAGAAGGAGACAGACATCTGTCTTAATTCCATAGGCATTAGACGATACATTACATAAAGTGAACATCTGGACCAGAAAACGACTTGCTTCAAAGGTGTTAACGTAACTGTATACTTACATATTCTTCTTGTTCCTTGTATATCTCCTGAAATATATTATCCCGTAGAGCAGTGATTTCTTCTTTTATTTTTGCCAGTTCAGACTCACTGTAATCATCAGACTGATTGCAGAAATTTAAAAATTACTACTTCAAAATATTAAAGAGTTATTTGCACCAGGTAATATTCCTATTATAAATTGAGTATACTGCTTATTTTCTTTCTTTTCACCTTCCATCCCCTCTTCTTGTATCTGAAATTGTGTTAATTTCTAATCACCATATCAAATCTGCCTTCTCTTCTTTCACCTGACCAAATTAATGCCAATTACTTTCAGGTTTTTTTCTTGTTTACATATTGAAAGTACTCTAGAGACAAATTAAAATGTGATTGTCAGAAAGGACACAGAGACTCAGTTTCTTGGCCAAATTGCCATTAATACATCTCTCTCATAAACAGAACCACCTATAGACAAGGATTAAGAAGCATTTTTATTCATCAGAACAAAGCATGGAAAGTGATAGTTCCATTATATGCTGCACTAATCAGACTGCACCTGGAATACTTTGTCCAGTTTGGCTCACCACAATTCGAGGAGGAAATGTGGAACTGGAAAGCGTTCAGAGAAGAGTAATGAAGATGGTGAAGGATTTAGAGCAGAGATCCCCAAACTTTCTTGGTTCATAGTGACCTTAGTGTCTCAATAATTTTTCATGGTGCCCCTAGGCCAAAAGAAGTATCTAATGGTTCCGTTTATTAAGTAATTAGGTCCAAATTTAAAATATCCTGCAGTACCCAGGGGCACACATTTGGGAACTGTGAACTTGGAGGCTAAATCCTATAAGGAATCGGTAAAAGAAGAGAAGACAGAGGGTAGATATGATAACTTTCAAATACCTGAAGAGCTGTCACAGGGAAAAGGATGTAGATTTATTCTCCTTAGGTCCTGAGGATACAACAAGAACCTACTAGAGAGGATCCAAACTCAAATCAGGAGAAATGTCCTGACTACAAGAGCAGTGGAACAACCTGTGTCCTGGGGTCATGGATGCCTTATCACTAGAGGCTTTCAATCAAAAGCTGGGCAGCCATTTCTCTGGATCGAATGAGGATTCCTAGCCTGGGTACAGGGTTGAACTAGAAAATCTCCATAGCAGCTTCCAACCCTATGATTCCATGATTCTAATTCATATGGCTACCAGCCACTATCCAATAAAAGGAGCTTTAATCAATGAGATTGAAGTCATCAAATTAAAAGGAAGGGGCAGTAAGTGGCACATTCACTACACTGAAGCTCAATGAAGCTTCTCAAGGGACAGAGGGTGCAAAAAGAGCTGGAAGAAATCCAGTCTCCTACATTAAGAAGTTGGTTATCCCAGATTTAAGGGATTACAAAGGGTTAATTCTATTTTGAGGGTTCTTCTATTTTTTCCCCTATCTAAAAAGTGCTTGTGCCCAACAATTTACAATTTGCATCAATTCAAAACAAACACAATCCAGAAACAAAAGAAGGCCATTTAAACACCACAAAATTAGGAAGAGAAGATAAAAATGGCACACAAAAAGCTTATGAGCTTCTGCAACTGAGATGAGTTTGGTTTTTTTTAAGTAAGCTCTTTAGAGGACAGATCATTGTAAACCATGGATAATTCTAACCTTACAGCTTCCAAATCTGCTAATTCCACTTACTCTGCTAAATTTACAATCTGGAACTCTCTCAATTAGTTGCAACCCAGCTTTTACAACTGCCAGCAGCATCAGCCAATATGGCTGTAGGTGATGGCAGCTGTAGTTAAACACATTTATTCATGTAAAATACTTTTACAAAGTCTTTCCAGCCACAAAGGCAGTGAACAGAAATTAGAATCTGAAAGCCAAAAGACTGGGAATGGCTATATTAATTCTACTGGACAGATTAATAGAGAATAAAGCTATCCCAAATTTTCAGGACTAGAGACATTAATGAGGCAAAAAAACTACTGTAGTTTTTGTTACTGTAACATGCCAGTGATTGATTTCCCACATGTGTCTCCCTGACCATTATAAGAAATAGGATGCTGAATCAAACAGGCCTTTGGATTAACCCTACAGGATGGTACCTCACTCCAACTAAAATTGTCCCAGGGTACTTATACAGCTCTGAGCACTTCTTTCTTATTCAGCACCTCCCTTCATGTTTCTTAAAGCCTGTGTGCTCCTCACAACCCTTTCATCCCAATTCTATAGTAACTGCACAATCAACATTTTATAGCTTTCCAATCTCATACTGTTTAATATATCCATTCTGGAGCTATGGTAAGCCACTGCAAAACAAATGGATTATCTGTTGTTTTTAACTGTATGTAATACGTGTAGAAATTGTATACTTTCTCAAATTACAATAATCAGGAGTGGGGAGCATTAGCACTGTGAAACACTTTGTGCAAATTAAATTGTTCCGAAATCTGCCATTTTTGTTTTAATATAAATCCCTTTAAGCTTTCATTTGGATTTTTGTGAATAAATTATGTCCATGACAATGATACTTCCTCAGAGCTAGAAAGTAACATTTTCTATGTCATCATCTACCAATTCTTATGGAAAATAAGAAATAATAATAATCTTAAAACATCAAAATAACATTGCCATACTTCTTCCAGGTTGTTTTTTTCTACCAATTTCCACCTCAGCTGAGCCTTTATACTTTTCATTCTCTTCTTAATCAGTAACAAATCATCAATGTTAGGAGTCATGTCCAGCCACTCCCCAATCTGTTTTTTGAACTGAAAAAAACACACTATTAGTGAGAAACAGATTTACAGAGACTGCAAAATGAAAAAAGCTCTTGTACTTTTGATAAATATTACTCCTTTTACACAAATTGCATTACAATGTAAGAATTAACATTTTCAGATCACATTTTTAAGCAGAACACACAGGCTAGGTTGTATTGTTCTATTTACATTACTAATTAGATGTGATTTTTTTCCTATTGAAGTTACTCAAAAAGATGCATAAATATCTTTTGTTGTTAATGACTTTCTACATTCTGAGCACATGGCAAAGAAGCAGGTAGACAAACTGACCTCACAACTTTCAAGATACTTTTGATAGATGGTATTTAAGAGATCTTGTTCTTGGTGGATCTTCTGCATAACCACACCATACACATTTAAGATGATTATTTTGTCTCTTTCATCTAGCTCCTGAAAGGAATCATAGAGTAACAATAAATACCTATAATTGCAAGGTTGCAAATGTTTGTTGATTTCAAAAATATGAAGGGCATTCTAAATGGCAAAATATGATGGGTTATCAAATTGTATTTGATAAAGTAGAAAGTACACTGTTCATAAAGAGAACACTCATAAATCTAAATAACTAAAAAACTTCCCATTTATAGCAATACAGCAGAAACATATTTTACACAATTTACGTTTGCGCTTCTTGATCAAACAGTCATTAATGGAAGAAGCCTACTTGCAGACCCTCTTGTCTGGATTACAACTCCTGGCTTCTGAGAACCAACTGCTGGGTCAGCTACTTCTGCTGAACAAGGCGGCTATGGAAACTGCCTCCAGGGAGAAATATCTCACTTATTGTAGGTTACAAGGCTGAGTGTGGCAAGATGAGTTCACGGAATGAATGCCAAGCATTCGCATCTTTGCAATGAAATCAGAGCAAAAGGGGAATGAGACCTTGTCCCTTTTTCAGCCTCAAAAGCTGCTGTGCAACTGTGTGAGTGGGGTGGTTGAGGATTAAAAGCCCAGAAAAATTAAAATATAATCAACCTCAATTCTACCTTAGCCTAGTTTGATCTTGGATTATGGAAGTGAAAGAGCAAGATTCAGCCCAATTTCAAATCTCACCAAAGCTTATTTGAAATAGTACAGTAGTCCTTGCTTAATGACCCTAATTGGGACAATTTCCGTCGCTAAGCAAAGCAGTAATTAGGCAAAACATCACATGATCGCACTGCTTAGTCCTGGTTGCGGTCGCTAGGTCTCATGCTTCTCCGCCCTGCCATACTTGCCTCCGCTTCAATTCCCCCCACTCGTCTATCTCCCCATCTCTGCCCTTTTGGCCATCTTACCCTCCACCGCCCTGCACTTGTGTGGCCTTTCCGAGGCCAGTCGCTGCCTTGCAAAGGGCCAGGCCAGGCACGCTTGTCAGCAGCAGGAAGAAGACAGCAAAGGTCAGCTGGGACAGTGGAGTGCAGGGCAGCCAAAAGGGCAGAGATTAGGGTTGGGGGGAGATAGGCAGATGGGTGGAGTTGAAGGGCATGCTGCGGTCATAAATGTAGGTGGGCTGCCAAACACCCGAATTTTGATCACATGGCAGTGGGGGCACTGCAACTGCTATAACTTTGAGGACCGGTCATAAATACCATTAGTTCAGTGCCGTCATAACGTCGGTCAATGAACAAATGGTCATTAAACGAGAACTACCTGTATGCTATGCTTTATTTCTACTGCTATTGTTAGCTTTATGGCTTTAGTATTTTATTACAAAAACAGTAATATATTCTTGCTATTGAATTAATACTGTGTTTTAATGTTTTGTAGATGCTGTCTTGGAAGGGAAGTTGCTCTAAAAGATGAATTGCACATATGTTAATAAAATAAAGAGAACTGAATGTGAGTAGTCCTTGACCCCTTTTTTCCCCAAGTTTGAAGAAAAATGGGGAAGCAAGTTGGAATCTTTTTCAAGAAACCAACAGGAACTTACTGTACATTAAATGACCTAGAGTTCAACCAAGTTCCTGAATCCACATAAATGTGATGACAGTACTTTCAAAATTCTCTTCTGCATGTCCCAAAAATCTCATTACAGTAAAAAAAATGCTATCAGTGTTCAGCACATCTGCTATTCCAGCTGTGCAGAGATCTGTCTCTGAATAGGAAAAGGTGCTTTGGAATGTAGGACTTGTCAGCATCTTCTTCAATCCAATGCATTTTTTCTGAGATTGTGCTGCAGCTGTGGAAGGCAGCCATGTGAGCCTGAGAGAAGATGCAGCTTCTTTAAAGAGTTGCCAACAACTGCTACATACTCTTCAAAACTGAATCACTGCGTTAGATATACTGAGATATTGAATGAAAAGGGTGAACTTAAAACTATGCAAGCGTTGGAAGAACAAGGTATAAAAATGAATTG